TCGTATAATCTTATTACATTCAACCACTGATAAAGCACACCTATAAGCCATCTACAATTTTCACTCTGCTGCTTGCTGCTGCATGCTCATTAACTGCTTTTTCTCAAATTTTCACTGCTTTTTTTCTCAATTATGCACGCGAATATGACTCATAGCCAGCTTGAAGTTTTGGACAAATGTTCAGCTAAAAGGATTGATATATAAATGAGCCATATAAATGGGATCCAGCTTCGGATCATACTTGAGCTCATGGATCTAATCATCTAGCGTCGGTTGATAAAAAGCCTTACGAATGCAATACTCGAACGAAATGCGATACTCGAATGCAATACTCAATAAGTCGTACTGATCGAATGATTGAAAACGCCTGACAGGATGTTTCAATCTATTATGTATTTATCTTCACTGCTCATAACTCTCATGTTCAGCAAATATGAGAATACTGATTTCTTTAATATTATAAAAAATTCAAGAAAAATACAACACAAAACATATACATCGCGCAGCGTTTTCTATTTTACGCATATAAAACAATCAAGCGCAAAGGGCATATGATCAAGTCAACAATGCCCAAACGGTGAACAAACTCTCTGTAGCAAAAAACTTCAAAGGAACACTCCCTAAGAAATAAACAAAGGTAAAGGAATAGAAACAAAGAGAAAACATAGTCAAAAAATTCATTAACTAACAATTTGTTCATTGTTATATGAGATTCTTCCGCATTTAGAAAAATATATACCAGCAAGAGATGGATACGAACGAAATATCAAAAGCTTTTAGTTGAATGTAAAAATGCGGATTATACTCGTGAAATCCTTTTTCGTGCGCTTAAACTGAGTCAGAAAGTACAAATATTTCGAAATCCTATTGAAAATAGAACTGCGATTATTCATAAAGTGAACGATTCAACAAAAGCAAAATGAATCATGAGGCAGTAATGCCCGTACCAGAACGGCTCGACTCGATACGTTGTTCAGCCCACTCCTTATGTTCGTCCAGAATCATATCCACTATGTGATTTACGTGCTGACACAACTCACCGATTTGCTCGTCCCACTCCACTAACGCGTCCTTGCCTTGAATCGAATTCAATTAAAAACACTACTGAAAAACAAACAAAAAAATTCAATCACATACGTTTAAAACGGACAACTCGATCGAGTTGATCAATTGAGCCGTTGATGCGTTTTTCAGCAATCATTTGCCAAGTCACCTTCTCAGCCTGCAACACAACCTGATTGAAATCATTTGACATGGCCAAAGACTCTTCGCTCGAATCANCATAACAAATCGATAAAGGATAAAAATAAACGAACCCGTTTCACGTTAATCTCCAATAACTGCGCCAAGTCGTCGAAACTAATATTCATAAAGATATTACTGATCGCGATAACGTTATGCTCGATTACTGCTCGTTGCAAAATTGAACAACCATCGTGTACTTCACGTTGATGTGCCGATAACGACTTCTCAAACTCTGATACCTGAATCTCGAACTGGGAATGAATATCTACTTACTGTACACCAGAAAACTGAACGCTCATAACAATAAGGTCTGACTGAGAGGGTTCATGCAAATGTACAATGCGAAATACGATCTAGAATCATCCACCTCATCATGCTTGATCAAACGTTCCAGATGCATCTTCTGCAGTACACTATGTGAAGGTAATCGTTCACAGCGTTCATCTTTAAACAACGCCGTCAACATACGAGATCGTTGAATACCTGACAACAAAAACTATCACTTCTTCATAACTAACATTGCAAATGAGTAATTACGAAAAAATCATCTAAATGAGTATCTCAATGAAGCTTTTATTCCTTGCTGTTGGATAAGATAAACTAAACTGATCAACTTTCATCTGTCTACAGAATTTTTCTCTCATTCCATTACGAATCTAACACAGATTGATTGCGAAAAATACCCGGTGAGGCGAGAATAGCACACGATACAGCATTCATCAACGCTTGCATTTTCTCGGAGTTTGTCAGTACAGGAACCAGCGACAGCTCATAATATCGTTGCGCAGCTTCAATGAATTTACGTCGATGATCCAAAACACGTGCATACTGCGCCTGAAAATCAACGATCTAATCGCAACCAAAGAGAGTCAGTCATGATAGTTTAGAATGATAACAACAAGATTGACAACATAAAAATTGTCATTCCTTATTTGCAGTAGTTGTTCGTGTGAATTCCGCTTGATTCGAACGTAAATTTTGCTCAAAATTAAACGGTTTCTTAATTTGAATGTAATGGGAGCGGTGGTACTCTATGAATAATTCACTTATACTTAACATTAAAATCAAGACACCTCAATATGAATTACTAGCGAAAGGTTGGAAAACAACCTTATACATGATATTCAATTGTTCATTTTTTGCATCATTCTGAAGCATTGAAGCTCGATTGACAAACGCTTCCGCATCAGCTGCATCACCATATTCCAGTGCCAACTGCGCAATTCGCAAGTATGTTCGCATTTTCAGATCCGCTGGATAACTCCTAAACAAGACGACACAAAGTGAAATTACTCCAATTCAAAGTCACTGAAATAATAATAATGATTCATTTTCAAATAAAATGAAACATTTCAGGATCAAATGGTGGAACGAACAAGTCGATGTAAAATGTCTCATGTAAGACGATCACCTCTGACCAGTTTCCAACGGAATTGCCATAAGTGTCTTTGCAGCTTGTTTATTTTCACCTTCCATTTCGTAGATATCAGCCAGTTTGAAACGGAGTTGAGCTGCCTTCAACGAATATCATCTAATCATTTGTAATTCAGTAAAAGGATTCACCTTACCTGTTCTTCGTAAGAAATGTGACGAGAGTGAATCGTAGCCAACAGTCCAATGGCCATTCTTTTAACGATATTGTGCGGGAGTTGTTCCATGGCCACGACAACATCGCTTACGAACTGTCTTGAGACAACCATTGAGATACTCTCTTGATTCACTACTGAAATTACTTTGTTTTCAACTGATCAAATTGACTCTTGAAAATAGTAGATTCTGCAAGAAATGAATCTGAAATATAATACAATCAATCCCTCAAATAACCACGAAACTCTTCGAGCAACAAAGAATTTTTCTATTGAACAAAACCTTAAGTGTTTTTCAGTTTGCATTTTAAACTCTCTGCAATATATAACAAAAAAATTCATCGATCAGCGACAAACCTGCTGCAGCAAGTTGATTCACACGATCGCTTATTGACTCTTCATCACTTGAACCAACGCTCGACAACACTTCCATCAGCATGTTTTTGATCCTTGAAAGAAGTGAGACATAAAAAATACATGCAGTCAAATAGAAGAATTTCAGAAAGAAATAATCAGAGTTTCATAGGAATTTCCATACAAAAAACCCAAATGAAACATTGAAAATGCGCTTTCACGACAAAGATGAAATAACAAACTTCTCTGACTGAACCTTGTGGTCTGGTTCACCGCTAAAAATTCGACTCACCAACGTTGTAATATCGTCGGACATCTTCAGTGAAATACGACGATAACCAAACGAGAACAATTAAATTGCTGCACAGCACGTACTTCTCCTGCACGAATAGTTCTTCACGTACTTGGTACTTATTATAAACTCTCAACAAAACGCTCTTCTATTTTATGAACCAATCAATGCATCAACGAATTTCAAGCAGAAGTACAATCACTTCCATACTTGCAACGCAATATTCGCATATTCATTGTCTATTCCTTGAACATAACCTAAGTTGGATGTTCAACGGTTTTTGATTCAGTGCCCTGGTACCTATAATCCAAACAGAACCGACGGATTCCGTGTGCCGTAGAATGTGTGTCTCAGCGAGCAATTGTCTAACTATACACTAGAACTAGTTAGTGACCGATAGATTTTCCTCGGTGGTTCGCAACCCAACTCCACTTCACAAGTGGTAATAGTAAAAGCGATGGACCAAATCTGGGCTGAAGTTTATGCTGAGCTCAATTCATCTCGCCGAACCACCTATTTGTTCAACAGATAGCCCATCCGGCATCAATCTCATTGTAAGTCTAATTCACAGTCGCATCTTACGCCTACTATCGCCACTTCTACTTCAAATAATTCCGAACTGTTACAATTACTATCCCAACGATATTCAAATTCAGTGCGTACAATCATGGATTGAATGAATTTTCGGTGAGGTGAAAACACTGATTCAACAACATCAAGAAGTATGCCTCATTGGCAGCAAATACGTCCATACCACGCACCTTTAATTGTAAATTGAAAGCTGCGAACGAGAATAAATGCTCAGTGATCATTTATTATTGTTGCACAATCACTTCACAAAATGTGATAACAAAATAAAATTTGCGAAAAAAAACATTAACATTAACAAGAAACAAGCGATTTCGAACGAATTTTCAACAGAAATCAAAATCAATCTTATGAAATGGAAGGAAACAATCAGCTGAGTGGATTATGAAAATTTCGATCCTTCTCAGACAGAGAACAGATTCACTTTGATTTCAGAAGAAAATTTGTCGGAAGAAACGAAAATGCATTAAAATTTAAAATTTAAAGCAATTTTTCCAGCATCTTGCATTCAGATTAAAATAGATGATTTGAGGTGAACGGAACGAGATGTCGCAAAGAGATGCTGCTGAATAACAGAGAAAAAAATAACTAGAAATTATGTTCGTGAGATATGGATATTTAAGAAAGTTTGAGAATGTTGCGATATAAGAAAAAAATAAAAGCGAATTCAACAATTTGAATATCATATTACCAACTTAACAATTCAATATTGTATAACAATGGTAATGCTTAACAACATGATGATAGCATGACGGTTTCGAGACGTTTAATGGGCATATTATGATGTACTTATTTTCGGATATGGCAAAATGCTCGCCAGAACTATAACATTTGACTATACGTTAGTCCACGAACTAAGCCATTCCATCGTCGTCATCTTCATCCTGCGGTTTCGGTCCACGTGGTTTAGGACCGCCAGTGGCTTGCTTCGACATTATGATCTGAAATCAAACGTGTAATCGAGTAATCATGAGATGCATCATTTAATCACTTCAGATTTCATGTCCCCTTGTATATCATCTATCAGTAGAACGACTGTGTCTCTATAGTGCTGTGGAATTAATTCATAAAATAAGAGGTCATTTCGCACCTATCATTGCACCTCTCTAAAAATACGATGAAATATTCAAATGTGTTCCCATCGTTGCTGAAAAAACGACGACTTTAAACATAACAAAGCGAACCGAAAAAGAACTAAATCAAAGAATGCAAACAAAACAACCGACGTACCTGATCTACTTTGAGTATGGTTATGGCCGCGTTCGTGGCCAGTTTAATTGCCAATTTCTTACTTGCATACAAGTCGAAGATATTGTTCGTTGATGCATCCATAACTTCACCACTCTGCAAGTCTACACCAGCATTCTTCTTTCCTTCCTCATGTGTAGCGTACAGCTTCGACAATACTTCGGTGGCCTTCAGTCCTGCATTATCAGCTAACTGCTTCGGCAACGCTTCGAGTGCTTGTGCAAACTTTCGAATTGCGTACTGCGCCAAACCAGCACATTTCGACCCAATATCGTCAATTTGCTTAGCTAATTCAATTTCAACAGCGCCCGCTCCGGCTACTAACTGAAATGAACGGTTGTTAACTTCTGCTACTTAATAATAACTGGTCTCCACTTGATATCGAAGGATCGCAGAGGCTCACTGCACACTCCTCATATCTCTTTATTCATACACCGCATTGAATGCGAATTGTTTATCTCAATGCCGTTACAATTCACTCAACAAAATTTTGAAAATGCAGATTCGATCATCAAAATTGAATAACAGAAACATGTTAAAAAAAACCAAATAATGAAATAAAATTTAAAAAATAATTCATTCAGTTTGAATTCATTCAGTCAGGCTTGAACCAATTAGACTATGTAGCGAATGGAACGGCGTCATACGAGCAGATGCAGTATATATGATCAACAGAAACAATGATCGGTACCTGGTCATCTCTCGTTAGTGCTTTATACGTGTTGACAGCATCATCGATGGCTCTTTCGACATCGTCCATCCTCGACTGACTTGATCCACGAATCACAATTGTTGCTATATTGCCTCTTTCACTTGCCTTATCGAAAACTACAACTTCCGTATCGCCTATCTCTTCAACGTACACACGATCACATTCACCTAGCAGATCCACACTCGGTGCACACTGCAATATGTCATTCGCTCCTTTATTGACAATACCATAGGTTAGTAACAACAGAAATTTGTACATGATAAAAATTCACTTTACTCGATGAAATTTTTGATGCTGAACGCCATCATAATCAATACGACATCGAGATAATTGGTCATTCAATTTTGTAAATTACATCACGAACAAACTTACCACTCTGGCTTGCGCTTGAGCTCCAGTGGTTCGACACAATCGTCTCAAGTCGAATTTTGATGTGAGACGAACACCCATAATGTTGTATTTGTTCAAGAAATGCAAATACAAATCTCCAAATTTACCGGCAGCAACCACGCACGATACTCCATTCTGCGCTAACGCTTTCACTTGTTGCTCTACCTCGGACTCCTCACCAGCACTGAAACTCAACAGATCCGACGCGGTTTCCATCAGAACCGTGCCCTGAAATCATCACCGTCGTGAACAATAAACAAGAACGTTCATTAACGAAACAATTGCAAAGACGAATCGCTTCGCTATTTGGTTCAATCAAGGAGCTTTCCTTGTCCAATCATTGCACAAAGAGAATACCTTTGTCTCAGTTTGAGTCAGATCAAATGGGCACGCGAAGACGGCAATACGCGCATTTGAGACTTTCTTGATTTCTCCTTCTGCACCACGCTTGAAAACCATACCATTCATCGTGTGAGATGAAGTAATGCCAGCACCCAAAATCTTACAAATGCGAATATTGTCAACGTTGAAATTGTACGCATTCTTTGGGACGATTTGAACTGAAACGAGATGACCGTCGAAATGATGACATCGAATGAATGAATTTGATTAAAAATTGAGCACCCAACGTACCGCACGCTTTCGCAACCAATTCGGTGATAAAATCAACATTATCGTATTGTTTCGACATTATAGCCGATTTTAAGTAGTTTTGAACAGCGCTGAGATCGCGTAAGTCTGTCGCTTTTTTCACTACTAACGAAGGAAGAATTTCCAGCGTTTTGTCCAACGCTTGCTCATAACCTGCGGCTATTTCAGCAGGACTTAGACCCTGAAACGAACAGTAGGAACATGTTGAAAGGTCATCACCATCAGAAGAGAAGCAATTCATCAGCTACAATCATACCACATATCAACTAGAGTTTCATAACTATCGGAAAGGTTTCATAAAAATCATGGACAGATACAATCATAGTTAACCATATTGAGCAGCTGCGATGCATGTTCCAAAAGTGCACAAGCGAATATCACCACCGTATTCGTCCCATCACCAATCTGTTTCTCTTGCATCTGACTTGCCATTATGACCATTCTTGCGGCCGGATGCTGAATTTCCAATTCTTTCAGAATTGTTGCCGCATCATTTGTCACAAACAGTTTTTCGATATGATTGATTACCATCTTGTTCATACCTGAAAAGAGGAATATTGAAATTATTCGGTGTGCCTAACAATGTCTGATAAATGTTTGAAAGTTTTTCTGTACTTAATGACGCACAGAAACCTTTAGGCATTTATCAGTTCAACATTTAATACATAAGAATGTTTAAATTTTGCAAAGAATCGAAAATAAACGAGCTCGAAGTGTCTTTCGTCATTACACTGACAATTAGATATTAGAATTACGGCTACGAAGAAACTCAAGAACCATAATGCTTACCACTTGGGCCGTAGGCAGAGCGAATCTGTGCAGCCAGCTCTGTGCAAGCTTCAATATTACGTTGAACAGCCTCTTCAGTACCCTTGAACGACTGAAATTTCCGAGAATATTTCTTTGGATAGATCTGATAACGGCTCCACTTACACATAAATAACGATGATAAATAAGCCAAGTTTTTTTAAGAGTTTTGCAGTCATCCGAAATGTCAGTCTACATAAAGGGAAACGACGGATCTCACGATACCACGATGACAACTGAAATGTGTCTGCGAAAGGTGGGGCTATTTGAAAAGTAGCACAGACCTGAGCTCCCTCTTTTAGAAAACGAGCATATCCGGATTTTGGAATTGACATCGCCATACTGAGGAGTTATAGAGTTTTGCTCTTGCTATGAACTGCTGAAATAGGCACAACAAACATATAAGCAAAACACCTTTAGTTCAACTCTACACGACAGACTGCAATCAGTAAAGTACCAAAAACGCTGTACTTCTGCATATAAATTTCAAATACACAAAATACCTAATTCAAAGGAGATGCATTCACATATAAAACAATACAAATATCTAAAAACAAAAAAAGAACAGAGCTATGATTTGAGAAGCTAACGACGAAGAATTAAAGTATAAGCAAATAATTGAAGGAATGAACACAACGGTGAATAAATCGGCAGAAAAATCCCATCCACCTCGAAAAGTACCGATTAATCATGGAGTTCTACTACTGCTAGACAATGTAAAGTTCGTCTCTGGTAACAGTAGGCAAGAAGCAGTTTTGAGGGGATGTTGACAGTTCGCCAAGTGACGGAAGTGGGCAGAGAAAAGGAGTAAATGCAAAGCGAATTAATTTTATACATAAGGTGCAGGAATTTGACATGTTCTTGCTTCATTTTATATGGGGTACATTTCTGCGATTTGCTTCCACAAGTTGTATACGCAGTCTTCCCCTCCAAATTCTCTTTTCCAAACGAACTGCTCCACGTAGCTCGCCAACAGCCCAAGATCGGTGCCGAACCTTGACTGGGTAAATGGGTAAATAACATTGTGCTGGGGGTCGAGGATTAGTATTGGTTGTTGGGGTAGAG